AAACATTTTAATATACATTCGACATTGTACCGATAGGAAGCGAAAAAGATACTTATTGTTAACTAATAATGTAAGAAAGTACACTATGTTAAGTACTTAGCACGGTTTTTATCACGATAAGTATCTGAACTGGAGAAGATTAATATTCCAGTAGCCCATAAAGAAGTATGTAAAAGGCTGCGAACAATCTGTGACTGTGTTTGCAGAACAATCGTGTCACATAATGTTAGACCTCGTTGGCTCATGAGAAACTTCTCTCTCTCGGCTCTTTTTTCTTTCCTTGCCACTTAGGACAAAACTATAATCAAGATCCAGTTACGAGAAATACCGTGTACAGAAGTATCATGAACAATAACAAGTTCATACATATTCATGAATAATGATATCCCATAACACGTTTCCAATCCTAAATATCCCAGCGTCGAACTTCGACCAATTATAAAAATCAACCGTTATATTTTTTCTCATCTGTAATAAAATATCGTTCGTGATTCGTTAATGCGTGCTGTCAAAGAAACGAAAGAAAAAAAGTAAAGAAGCGAACCGTTATTTTTATATATACGGTCAGAGAGAATGCCAGACAAACAGTACGACGAACTTAGTGAGAATATTTCAAGGGAAAGGTAGAATGTTTCTATGATTCTTAATGCCAAGGTATATTCGCGACGCAAGTCGATAATACTGTAATAGCATTATTGCGAGATGCACGCACGAAGAAAAACTTATTCTAACTTTTGATTTCGACAGATTATTCGCTATAAGCTTTACACGTGTATATAGCTTTCTGCAATGTTAAATAAATATAAATACTATTAAATTTTTTTTTATGATGTCAATTTATACTCTCGTCGTATGCATATGATTTCAATTCAACGAAGGCAAATTTGTATTTACTTCAGGTTTGAGCTAGAATTTTAGCGTCAATTTTTCAAATTTCCCATTATTAATAGACAATGCATATTTCATGCAAATTCATGTTTTTATTAAAAAGGAATGGTTCCTAAATAGTGATATTTTACTTAATTTCCTTAATAGTTCCTTAATAGTTATATTTTATTTTTTATTTTAAATAGTGATAGTGGTGTTTTACACACTAAGTAGTGTAACGAATACTGTAATGGAATTCAGTTCAAAATAAAGTCGATATTTCACATTTGAAAGTTGAAATTTTCGTAAAATAGAGAGTCTGCCCATGAAATTCTCCTATTAATTCAATATATCTTTCTTAAAGTATATTTTTCTGTGAATATCTTCTACAAACCTACGTTTTCAAGGATCAATTGATTCAATAAAACGAAAGAAAGAATAAACCGATACAATCTGCTTTACTTTCTACATAGTATGTCGAAACTACATGCATTATTCATGATATATTCGCAAATTTAACGTCGCTTCTCTGATTTTAGTTAAAAGATACCACGCGTAATATGAATCTGTCAGTTCAATTATCGGCTTATTTGATAATTTAACGCGTTAAAATCGCGCAAGCTTAACTACTATAGGTTATTCTTCGATCAAAAATTGCTTCTAAACCTGTGGTGCAAAATCAATGAAACCGAACTTAGTTTCTATCAATTCTTGCAAATGTGATTCAGACATATTGTTATATTATTATGCATTTAAAAAATTGCAGATTCTAGTTACAACGGATTAGAAATAGTGGTAATTGGAACGACGAGTTAACTCGTCTTTTCCAGGTTAACAGGTTACTTGTAATGCCTGTCTCGCGTTTGAAAAATTGACAACCAGTGAATCGTGTATTTTCCCACTCAATTGTGCTGCTTGGAAACAGAAGAAGCGGTGTCTTTTAACGACTCTGTTTACTGTGAGTTAGGTCAGCATTGTACAACGCATGTTGTTCACAGAAAATCTTTAGTATCCAAAATGTCAGATATTTTGTAATGCATGAAAACAACACATGAAGATTGTTCAGCGAAAGGAGCAAGATCTTTAATTAAAATTATGAAATACTTTCCAAAATTTCAACCTTGAATTTCAACGACGATTGTGGTTACATTATCGTGCTTTTATCTTTTCAGAAGGATTTTTAATTTAATTTTTAATTTTCAATGTATATTGGTGTATCAAATATCAAGAGATCAAAAAATAGATGAAAATATCATAATGTCAAAATATCAAAGAATAAAAATCAAGTATCAAAGTATATTGAAAGAAAAGATTCTAAATTAGTAGACAATGCAATTCACTCTTAGAATAAGAATAATCTTCGAAAGTTGCTCGTTCGATTTACTCAATTCGATGTACCTACGTAATTTCGTCTTGATTTTATTCTTCGTTAGAGGCAGATGTTTCACATAACGTATGTATAATTAGATTCAAACTTCAGATATAGGTATACATTCCTCCTGATTATCTTGTCTTGTCGTTCTTTTCAACGTTACGCAACGCACGCGACTTCGTTTCGCCGGTAGGGCATTGTTTAATGAAAAATGTGAAAGAACGGAACTTGCGATTATAATTAACGTCTTGCGACGTTTTAGAGAAAAAAAGACTTGTTCGCCTTCTCCTGTCAGACAATCAGCGCAGCCGTCGACTTTTCACCTAATTCTCACTTCGCAAAATTTCATAAATTATTCCTTTAAGATTTTAAATGAAAACTCTACATTATCAGCTATTAAATGACAGAACTGAATCAGTTAAAATCAATGCAATGTATCAAACTAATACACGTAGAGCATATAAGACATGACACTTTACAGATTAACAATTATTTATTATAGATTACATTTATTATAGAAAACAAATATAACTCGTTCTGATTCACATAGGATAAATGAATACGTTAGAGAAGATTCAAATTAATTCTTTCATTCAATCCAAATTTCTTTTGCGGTATAATTCCATAACATGTTAAAACTAACGCTTACTTTGTCAGTGAATGAAGTTTATGTTCAATACTTATTAATAATACATCATTTATTTGTTACTTGTATTTAGTATTAAGAACAATAATTTTAATAAGATCAAGAAGACTATTAAGATGTATTTTTCTGTTGTAAAAAGTATATTTTTTCACTATCAAACTTTCCTTCGTTGTAAACATACGTATACTTTTTCTTCATATTCAAGTTATCAACTTGTAACAAAATATCACGAATTATACACTAAATACAGTCTTACCAATATCAAATATAGTATTAAAGTCGGATAAACCAAAAAATGCGGATTTTCTCACGAAATACATAACCGTCGAGCGTCGATAAAATTAATACCAACAAAAATCCCACCCTTTCATTCTGTCGCTCGATAATAATTGATCTTCCATTCAAAATGCTTGAATATGAAATGAAGTTAAATACTAACCTCTGGAAGGTCGTAGCCCTTTAATATCCTTTGGAGTCAAGTTTCACTTCGGTTGCGACACCGAGGATCCTCGGCGTGTTTATGCTCACGATACGCGCGGGAGGAACAGGATCGTGGTTCACGGTGCCACGATCAACAGCAGACTAGTCCGATACCATTCTCCATCCAGGTTGTAATATTCGACAACTTCCACCACTTTCTTGCCTTCCCTTCTGCCATGGTACCAGCTTATGGAAATGATCCGAGCGGTCGCTACCATCTCGCCGTTTTCATGGCGCTGAGAGTTGGAGAACACCGTACGAATAGCTTTTACAACAATTTCAAGAAGCGTAGGAACACCTAGGTAAGCGACAGGATTTTGTTTTATTGCTGACGAAATAATTTATTTATTTCTGATTCATGAATAAAGATAAGACTATAAATAAATGGCACGTTTATTAGGTGGTATGGCAGGTGTTTCAGAATGTTCACAGTTTAAAATAATTCAGTCCTGTATTACAAGGACGACGAAACTGTCGAAGCAGGATTTCAAAGAATTACAAAAATAATTCTTGATTATTACATAAATAATTATCTTGTAAGCTACCAAATAGTTTTCTTTTGGTTTTTCGAAAGACTCGTTTGAGTTGCACTACTTTCGAAAGATACGCGCGAAATATCGTTTCGTAATAAACAGTATCGATTAATCTTTATTAGATATATATAATATTTTGATATTTCTAAAAAGTACCTTACATTTTTTTTATTTTTTTAAACGTACTTACTGAATTTCTACAAAGATCGCAACGTTTATTACGTTTCGTCCAATCACACTGCATCAGTTAAAACGTATATATTCAAAGCTTTAATTAATTGAAATTCCAATTACGTAACGGGACTAACTTTTAATTGACAATTACGTGTTGGTACGTACAAAATCGCAATTTACTTGCTTCCATTTGGCATTTATGAACAGTTTCAATTTACCGAATCAAAGAACAAGGGTTTGACATTGTTATATTATAATTATATAATAATGTACATTTCACACAAATTTATTAAATGCCTTTCGTTCGTTGTGTTTTTATTAGAATGTAATGACAGCGTTTTAAAAGAAAGTAATTGCCGTGTTCGCGGATATGTAAGACGGGAAATTTAATGACAGCATATTAATGACTGAACGGAAATATATATTCTTCAGTTTACGTTTCTTGCCGTTCTTTCGTGCTTTATTTCAGCTCGCACTTTCAAGGAGATTAGGCATTCGATGATATTTATTATAATAATATATCATTTAATAGATGTACTACTGTCATAATTATATTACAGTGTATATCATGTTGTATCATTATAGTAACTATTAAGTATTATTAAATGCGTATGTTTATAGAAATTTATGTTTTCACGAATAATACTAAAAAAAAAAAAAATACTAAAAAAAAAAAAAGACAGAATCTCAGAAAATATTTGTTTTATCCACTAAATATTACAAAGTAGTTTTAATATCCCTAAATTCCTCCAAAATCCACAATCTGATAATAATGTTTATATAAAATGTTTATATAAAATGTTTATATAAAAGTGTATCTGTGTGTTGCACAATTTATACAAAATTATTACCTTGGATAGATCGTTTCGTTCTTTCAGGGATTTTCTGTTCGTAATATTCTATAAATAGGAAATTAAAAAATCACTGTTGAACTTTACAGTTTAATTTCTTAAAAACAAATGTTGGAAAATACGTTATACATATAATACCGTCATATTGACTGTGACTTTACTTAGTGGATTTCCCATTACTTTTTACGAGTTTCGTACGAACATATTCGACGTACGTGTAATCTTGAAAACCAATATCACCGTTGCCAGCACCGTAACTAGGCAGATTATAAAAGGACCGAATAGTAGGTTCCTCGTTGGCATAAATTAGCTCAGGTGTCCTCGATTCTCTTTCCTGGTAGTGAAATTAAAAAACCGGTTTATCTTGCGTTGGACAATTGGACTACGTTAAATCGTTATATAGTAGAGTACATTTGTCTCTTTGAAATTACCTACCAGTTTCATCGACGTTTTTCACGGAAAGAGGACAGAATATTTTCAGTTCAAGTCTGTATACTACTCGAAAATAGTATCAAAAATAGTTTTGTGTTAAATTATTAAAATATAAATAATTAAGAAAATAAAGAAATTACTTATTCTTTAGTGATACGTTTATCTATTTGTTTAGATTTTAAGTATTGGTATTCTAAGTATTATACAATTTTTAGGATTCTAAATGTTAGAGATTTATTAAAATTGTTTTTAAAAGATACAAACCTGTTATGGTTTTAAATTTGATGAAGCTGTTTCTGTTTGATTCGTAGGCAAAATCTGGTCATATGTTTCTTCTTCTAAGATATGCGAATTATGCACATCATTCATATTATTTAGAATATTTTTCAGAAAAATGTTACTTGATTCAATCCCCGAAGATTTTGATTCGTTATAGTATTTGTTAGTTTCATCAACAATAACTTGTTCACTATTTAAAAAAGACGTGTTTAATGAACTTTCATCGAAATTCAATTCTGTTTCTCTATCGAAAGTATCATTCTCCTCATTCATCATTTCCATCAGGGTTTGTACGTAAGGTAAGAGGCTTTCTCTGTTCAGTTCAAGGAAAATATTTAAATTCATTTCTTCGTTGTTTATATCGTCGATTTGTGGGAATGATAACTGTGATTGGACATCGTTCGACTGATCCGAATAACTGAAAGGTTGAATGTTATCTGAAATAAATGTTATTTTATTGAATCTGACAAATCTTTTAATCGAATGTTAATTAACTTCTTACTGTTAATTTCTTAATTCTATAATTAACTTTGTAATTAATTATCAATGGACTTAATACGGCAATTGATAATATAACAAAATGTCAAAATATATTATTAAATAAACATAAATTTAATTTACAATTTTTAACAAACTCGATTGTGAGAATTCAAGTTTATCTCACTTTTAAAAATTCGATTTGCGAATTGAAATAAAAACTCGTAGTTGTTTTTGTAGATATTGGATAATATGGCAGTTTAACTTCCAGTTCGCAATAGAAGTAGGAAAATAATGGACATTATACCCGTAACGAATCTATAAAGTTCCATCTCTGCTACAAGCAAGGCCACCTACTATGTATTCATTCTAGCGTAAAGATATTATAATAATTTGTGCAATATTGTGAAAAAACTTTACGATTTGCTGTTGACGGTAAAATAAATTTCAGCGAACGAATTTATTGTAACGAGGAATATATGGCAAGGGACGAAGGGAATATACCTAATTTATTAAGGAACGTCTTAACACCTGGTTCGATCATGTCTGTGAAATTTCCATAGTCATCATTAGGGAAAGAAAATTGATTTGCATTCTCTTCAGCATTTTTATTCCTAAATGTATCCTCATTATTTTGACTATGAATTATCGAACTCCACTCAAAGTCTCCATCGTGTTTCTCATTTCGTGGGACTTTAGGTAAATTCTGAAAAGATGAAGCTTGTTAGTGAAATTTATTTGAACAAAAAAAGAATGGGAAATAATATAGCGTTGAAATTGTAGAAATGACTAAATTTCCAATTTACAGCAAATATTTTGAAACGGAAAAAATTAAGCGGAAGAAACTATTTAATCATTTGTATCTTTTTTAATTGTCTACTCGTAGGTATCACGAGTATAAAACAATTTTCTCTCGAGAAAAACTTTCTCTCAGTTCTACCAAAGCTTTAGAAAACTTACTTCTTTGCGATATTCTTCGATAGGTTTTTCATCAAAAGTCTGTGACACATTTTCAGTCGGGGAGAACTGCATAGAGTTAAGAAACTTAAGAAACTTCTCCAACAAATCAACAGGGATGTCATCAAAGTGTTGCGCCTTGGCCATCAACCTTTTGTCTTCCGAAAGACCAATAGAATCTTCAACAGAGTGAGTTTCTACTTTAGGTGAAGTCTTTTCAAGATTTTTGTGCAGTCCAGTCCACAAAGACGATAGCTCGTCTCTGGTTGACGATAAATTCATCTGTTTCTCTGGAACATTCTTCAAAAGCAGCTCTGATATTAATAAAAAACAATTATGTAGAAATATTTTAAAATTAATTTATAATTAAAATACTTATTGCTTTTTCTTTTTTTATTAAATAAATTCAATTGATTTTAATCAATTTTTCATTTAAATGTAATTGTTTTATTCGTGAAATTAAAGTTATATCTATAATATAATATAAAAAATATACATAAATATAAATATGCATACAGAATATCCAATTAATCCCTTAACCTACAACTATGGGCATAGCCCGTAGTACGATGATCAGGCCAAATATAATAATACAGGGTGGTTAGTAACTGGTGATACAAGCGAAAAGAGGGTGATTCTACGCGGAAAAAGAAGTAGAAAATATAGAATAAAAATTTTTCGTTTGAGGCTTTGTTTTCGAGAAAATCGACTTTGAATTTTCGCTCGGTACGCGTGCACTTTACCACGTCTCGTTATAACGGATCTCACTATGGATCGTTGTCTCGATGGAAAAATTAAAAAAATAAAAAAAAATTTTTATTCTATATTTTCGACTTCTTTTTTCGCGTAGGATCGCTCCCTTTCTGCTTGTACCACCAGTTACCAACCACACTGTATAATATAACATATAATAGCTTGTTTACATTTTCGGACCAAAATTCTCGAACGTAAATCGTAGGCTAAGGGGTTAATTAAACGAAAATTAATATTTTTCCAGTATCGGTTTATATATTCAAAAGAATTCATGTTAGCATATTGTATGTATAAGAATAAGATAAAGATAAAGCAAAAGTTCATACGAATAATTTGATAAAAATAGAACTCACGAAAGAGGAAAAATTGTCCCGTACATCAGATACTTTTCCATTTTCTGAAATCGTTCCGTGATAATGTCGTATACTGGGATTATAATCGATAATCGGAGAATTGGTTAATTCCTTCATATTTTTCACAGGAACCACAAGATACTGTTGATTGTAAGCATTTTCGATTTTCTGTGGCTGCGACGATAAAAATTGATTTTCCACGTAAGAGGGATATTTCAGAAGATAATTGAAAAATGGCGAAGGGCTAGATTCCCTTACATTATTCAGCAGAGCAGCTTCTAAAGCTGCGTACGGCGGTAACAGGATTCTGCTTGGTACAAGAATCTTCTCTAAAATATGCGTCAAATTTCTTTCTCTCAGAAAAGACTCAATTTCTTCTATCCCTTTTGTATCATCAGATGGCGACATGTTCTGAAATCATTAATTTCATAAATCATAATTAGCTTTCCGTTATTCATGATATCACTGTGGATTTTTATGCATTTATGAAAAATTTCTAGATGCACAAAATGACATAAAATATATCAGATATGCAAAACATAGTATCCTTTATAATATTTAAAATAGATTTCTTTTTCATTGTAATCTGCGTGTGTGTAATCTACCATGCAATGATATAATCAGCACAGATCGTAATGACATAAATTGACCCGAATTTGAGTACACCCAGTGGCGTATCACTATGATATTATTTAGCTTATATTGCTAAATCTCCATCGTAGATGTACAAAGTGATGTCTCTTTAATCTTTCGCGTTCTTCTATGGTGTCCAATAATTTTGTGTCCAGGTTGTTGGTAATTCTTCGGTTGTTGTTGATATAACCTATTGTGTCTGACGATTTCTTTCTTTACAGCGAGTATACCGTTTTTTTATTTTTTATTTATGTACCATTCCGCATAGAAAATTGTATGTCAGTGTTTATATTTAATAAAACAATTTTCTATCCAAATTGCAGTTTTTTAATTATATCCCTAAAAAGTTATATTCCTATGAATTTGCATAAATATTCACAGTCCAGTTACGATAAATCTGACTATTAACTGGAATTCATATTACGGAATCGACGAGACAGAAGAGAAGATTCTCATTGCTATCTTTTTCTTCGTTTAACTAGCTACGACATAATAAATCTCCACTTAAAGCTTAATTTTGCTATTCGACTCTTTTTCACCCTCCATTTTACTCGATAATTCCCTCTCACTATTATTACGAACATTTATCTCACCTTCAATGTGCATACATATTGCATCGCACAAATCACATTTACCCCAAATGAACTTACGTAACACAATTTAAATAATCCATCTGCGCAATAAACGCAAATTGCATACTTGCGGCCTTGCAAAGCATGAATAACGGTAAAAGATTTGCCCATTTTGTCACATTTCCGATCAAAATTCCATCGTGTGCTTACCATCGTACCGCGAACCGAGTATAGATTTTCTGTCAATGTAGTAGGTCGTTCTTGTCCCGGAAGTATCGGTCCCATGGCATCCAGATTGCCGTGTGATGCTTGGAGCCATTTTCGCAACTCTTTGCCACGCGACGACAGAATTTCCTCTAGCCAGTCACCGTACGCACCAGAACCGAGTATTTCCTTGATAGATTGAAGCCAATCTTGAAATTGCTGGAAATAGCGGATGCTGGAGTGCTTTTATCGGGAACCGTGAAAGGCTTGAGAAACAAGTTTGGTTGAATTCCGTGGAAAGATCTTAGTAGCTTCGATGCTTACGTCCAAATAAATAAAGATATTTAACTTTTTATATTCTACTGATCTTTTATTATTATTATTATTACTCAAAGTAAAAAATGTTTAGCTTTTACAAGCGTTCATTTTTGCTGTAAATATCGCGAGTGAAAATCAAATTTATAATGGGACTAATATATTATTTAAACAAGTTTTAATTGTCTACTTAATTTGATTTTGAACGTTACCTTGAAATCTTCTTGTTCTTCGACATTTTTTCTCCATAGTTCTATCCCGTCCAATTCAGTTTTCGATTTTAGATGATTTAACCATGAGACAGGGATTCTATACCTCGAATTTCGTATTCAAATAATTGATTTTAGTTTGTTTATAAAAAGGTTTAAATATTATTTGTATAATCTAATAATTATTTAAGATATGATATTCACCCTCTTCTTTCAACTCCATTTTCTTGATCCGAGTTTGTTAGTATCTGAAGAAATATTAGTCATTTCTGTTATCGAACGATAAAGATCACAACAAAAATTAATAAATTACTAGAGCAGTTTTGAGTTTTATTTAAAGTTTACGCGAAATCGAAATTTGTACATTTCACTCGTACAATTGAAGAATGTCAATGAAAATTATGTGATTACGAGAGAAAAGATAATTATATAGATCACATTCATAATATTAGAAACAAGATTTCTAATTCCTAATTGATAATTATTTGTTGAGTGGAAAAACGAGTCACCTCGTCATTTAGATTGCTCCTATCTTGTATGTAACAATTTATTTATCGTTTCGTTCCTATTAAAAATAAATGACAAAAGTAAATTTTCACATTTTCATGGAACGAAATTAAGTAAATTCAGTTTGACTATATTAATTGTGAATTCGGTCATTACAGAAGAACCTGGTTAAAACGCAATTCAATTAATACTTAATAATTTAGTTAAGCCTAAGTTAATATTTCCATAAAATGTAGAAACGCGATTCCATTTGCCAATACATAAAAATAATTCGATTCTATTTAGGAAGAAATGTACCTCGCTATCATTTCGAGGGACTTCGTCCTCGTTCTTCAGAGATCTTCTTGAGAAAGATGAAGCAGAATCATTCGCTGCTGCCACATGTACCTCATGGCAAGTTCTTTTAATATTACAGTCGTCTGTCTCGCAAGATCCTACAATTTCTGCGGAACAGGTTTGCCTTTGTGGGCATATCCATCCACGACAACGTTCATTTGCCATTTCGTTCTCTGGAAAATTACGAAGGAAAACAAAAGATCTTTACAAATTTCCTTCACATGATATACAAAATTCTGTGAACTCTACCTCTTGGCATTATGCAATCCGGTGTGTGTTTACAAAGTGGAATCGAGCAGTTACCCTCTGGTCTTCGTAAGAAACATTCGTATTCTGATGAACAACCGAGATTTCGACACTTTACGAATAAATGCTGCACTTCTACGAAAACAATTATTTGCATTAAATTTTATTTAATAAATTATAATAAAATAATCATTTACATTTGGCAAAATTTTCACTACGAATGAAAATTTATTACTATTACTTATTTTATTACTATTATTAAATTTATCACTATTATTGAAAGTATATATATAATATATTACGACTATTTATAACAAAAAAACTAAAATGTACTAAATATATAAAAATTTTGAAGTCTGTATGACTTGTCATCATCAGAGTGACTTGAAGACAAGAACCTTTGTTCTTCATACAGCTTTTTATCAATTTACAAGGAGGATTTGCACAGAATGATTCCCGGAGAATGCAGTGGTTTCCTTGAGGACATTTGAACCCGGCGCAGGAAGCGGGGCCTTCGTAGTATTCTTTTTGAGTTACGCATCTTGCTATCTGTTGCTCGCACTCTGAATAAAATGCAATTCATTATCTACTAATCCACAGTAAAGAACTTTTAACGAAACAACGAAGATATCGATAGTCTTTCTTTTGTTTTTTAAATTAAAAAAAAAATAAATTATCGTAATGCTCACTTTCGTCCCAGTGACAACGACGAACTTTCAACATGCACACGTAACCATTAGTGCAGTGCACAGTATCGCAGGTGGAGGGTCCTCTTAAAGATTCTTAAAAGACACACGTGTAATATCGATAATTATATAAGGAGGAATATAGCATATTTTTAATAAAAAAAAGAAGGAGTAGAAAATGCTTAAAATTGTGGAATGAGAATATTTCTAAATAAATTTTGAAATAGGATATTCTCAAACAAATTATATTTTAAAACAAATCCACCACTAGTCCAAAGCAAATAACGTTTTAAATAAAATCTACTACTAGATATTGCGCAGGTAGTTTCAGCTAGAAGAGATCGAGACGAAGATAACTCGCAGAGAAAATCTTTCGTTTTTGAAACGTGAATCGTCTCACTGAGAATAAAAATTCCACGAAATAGTTCGCTTTTCAGAACGGTCCGCAATATACATGTTCATACGTTCGACCAAAAAAGATGTGCACCAGACAGGAATTTCATTTCTCCTTTGTGCCGAGCAATTCAAAATTTACTGTATCCCAGCTCAAAGCAATAGTTTAACGCAAGATATTGAATTTTCGACTTAAACAACTGTTCGATAGAATAGAAAATTGCATCGATGCGATTAATTATGTTCTTCGTACGGTTTATCTCACCATGTAATTCAATTTCGACAAGTACCATCCAGGCACTTACCTGTTCGAGATCTCGCGCAGTATAGCATACTGGGACACGGAGGGTATTTACATCGAAATTTTCGATGTACGCAAACATCATCCCCGCCGCAATGTAAATACGTGCATCCTCTGAGACTGGTGTCATCTGTAGTTACTGTAATCAGGCACAGAATAGATTACTTTCCGAAGAATATACACGTTTCCAGAAATAACGTACGCGAGAATTCTGTAACTTTAATATCTTTTTTAACATTCTATGCACTAGCAATTTCATTTTACGCTACTATGTGATACCTGTTTAACAAAAACAGTATTCTTTATAGAATTCATAATACTTGTTGTATTATTTAATTTAGCTTTCCAGCCATGTGCAATGTCGAAATCGCATTTTACTTATTGTATTAATTTCGGCGGACCTATTATCGTATCGTGTTTTTTGTGTTGCATATTAGAAGTCTTCTTATAACGAATCTGCAAAAATATAAATTTCGTCCGCGATTTTGTATAGAAAAGTATGAAAATCGCCCCCGGTTGGAGGATTAAATAGAACAGTGTTAGATTATAAATATGATATTGCATAATTTGGTGAATAAGAGATTTTGAGCAAGTAGATGCTTATAAAAATGATAAAATTGACAGACGCGGTTAGCCAGGGGATGAATGTTAATAATATAGAAGTTTAATAAAATCACATCATCATATTTCTGCGATGAAGGACGTTCTAAACTTGTTTGTTTTTATTGCTATTATTAATATATGAGATTTAATGAATTATTTTGATTCAAAATGGACCTACCTTCGCCTTTAAAACCATGAAGATAAACCTCTGTGGTCAATAGCAACAGAGGAAGTAATGTAAAGTACATAAACACGACACATTTCATTTCCATAGTGATAGGAACATGATAGCGAACGTTGTTCGATGGTGACTGCACCTGAAGTAAAGTAAAGCAGCTGACGCAATTGATATGGAAAAATCGTGTTTCGATATAAGCTGGGTAACTGGAGACCGTACGGAACAATCGGTCAGGAATGTACTCATTCGATATACGTCGGCATAATAGCAAACCATTATCTATCCACAAAATACTCGGGCGTTTTACAATTGTTTAAGTAAAGATTTAAAAAAGTTTCATAAAATATTTAGGTGCTTTAAAAAAAAAATATATATATGTCATTTTTATGGCAATTTTATCAGGGTATAATCCTTCAGGTCTAATTCTGTTAATCTGCGATACTAGAATTTTCTAAAATCTTAAAATATCAATATGGCAAGTGGATTTCAAAAGAAGCAATATCAATTTTTCCTGAAGATGTTGAGAACGCGAATCTCTAGATCTCAAGGACGTGGGAAAATTCTTAGGGTAACAGAACGAGCAAGGAAGCTCTCTACCTTCAGGACATTCTAAGTTATAATCTGTCGAACCACCGAAAAGAGCTAAGGAGCAGAACTTCTATTGGTCGTGAAATTTCGCTCCAGGCACTCGAAGATTGTGAGATCTCAACCTCCTCAGCTCTAAGATCTACTACTCTAGAGTTAAAGTCGCGACATCTTTCGAATCGCTTTACTTTATTTGCTTATTATTACTGTATTTGATTGTAAATAAATATTGTATTTAATACTAAATTACCAGTAGATATTACTACCGTATTTAATAATATGTTATTATACTAGTATGAAATAATTTATTTAGAACGATTATAAATTACTAGGTTTCGAATTGAACTGAAAAGCTGTATATAAATTTCTAAATGTTACAGTTATGCATTTGTTCCACTATAATTACGATATCGAGAAATACTCAAACAATATCGTTCAGAATTTCGAATTGCTTTCTCGAATTTTCACGTATAAATTTTCATGACCACCGTAGAGTTATGGAAAATATTCGACTATTTATTTATAACAATATAGGATGTTTTCAGTAGGTATAACATTACATAAGTCTAGTATATTGGGAAGCATATAAATTATGCAAGGTTAAATAATTAAGATAATATAAATACACATTATCTTGCCTATAACAGGAACAATTACTTTGTTCTTCGTTTATGTTAGTTTCTAATCACATGTATGTTCGTAGCTATCGTACATAGTAAGCTCGTCTTATATTAATTGAAGCATAAAATAATAAGAAATATTAGATATTTATTCAGAAGTAAATTATAACCGAAGATGAATATAAAACTCTAAGATATTGAAATTTTTTCATATGCACGCTTTTATGTAGTTTATAATACACTATATTTATAGAACTATTAAATAGACGAGGAAGCTAATTTTTCATATTTTTTATGCGATTATTATGTACATTATAAAGTATTTTTTAATAAGAAAAGCCTTAACAGAAGCGAGAATAGCGCGAATAATGGCATAGAAATTGACGTATCAATCGATAGCATCCCTTATTTTAAAAAAGTTTTTCGAAGAAAGTTCTACAAAATATAACTACATAATATTCTTAATTATATTAATTACCGAACAAGTTTTATGTTTCGTACCTAAATAAACTCCTTTCTTCTATTAACCTTATACATACCTTACACCGCTACATTATATATGTACATTTTCCAATCGAATCTATTAAAGCCATACTCAAGCGCGTCAAGCTACACAGCCTAGATATTGTTTCAATAAAATCGTACGTTGAGAACGAAAATAATTTCACCTTCCCATCAATCAACGTTACATCAATAAATTACATCCAATCGTTCAATCGATATAAATTTCTATTCATCATACATAAAACATCTAGTCGATCTTACATAACGGCGCTTCAATCATGGCTGCAATTACTTAATTCATTTTCTTGTTTAATTAATTCATAGTCATGAATATACATTTGCCACTTTCCTTTGATTATCAGAATTAATTACTTGTTCGAATTCGATTTCTCCATATTACAGACGAGAATTAAAATCGTTCACTTGATATTTACTTCAATATAATATTCATAAAATAATAATTCGATGAAATTACTAGCAATAGGTATTTATCAACCTAAACATACAATCCACCTAATTTTTTCAGGACGATTATTTCACCATGACCGATCATTGCTCTTCTATCACAAATCTCGCTTTTGATACACTACACCACCAATAAGGATCAAAAGATCCTTTACCCGATTGATATTCACATAGAAATATAATATTAACGATACGTTTCGATAATCGACTGAAAGACACTACTATCCTGCATCGAACTTTTCGAAAACGATCACCTAACAATGCATGGATCCTCTATAGCAAATTTTGGAATTCCATTCGATACATTAGTCACCATTAACAAGAATCGGAATATCTTTCATTCAACTGATATACACATAAAATTATCAACTTTCAGCTTTCAAAAAATAAAAGTCAAAAGATAATCCTTCTCCGAAAGATCATTTGACAATATCTTCCAATTTATTTTGTATTCACAGATTATGTATGAATTACGAAAAAGTCTTCTTTCGTTATTTTAACGCGAACTATTTCGTTTTGGAGAGTAAAGTAATTCCTTGGTTCGTGGCCAAAAGCAGCGAACTGTTATCGCACGTTACGTAGTGCTTTTAACTCGTAGTTGCAACAATCCCGCCAGTGCACTCGTGAATCCGGCATTGTAATCCAATGTGACTTCCGTGTATACGTAATCCTCTCGATGATCGTGAAACTTGTCCGCCTCGTCGGGGCCGGAGACCAGGGCACCATAAAGGATTTGAGGGTTTGGTGCGTCCTTGTCGAATTCGGGCCATCCACAAACGGCTGGTCTGTCGGGGCAGGATGACGCAGCATGATGTGGCTGCTTCGGTGGATTTCGACCCCAACCGACCACATAACTCCTGCCTAATAGGGGTGGAAAGAGTTTTGCTTTAATTGCAATGCGAGAAACGAAGAAATTAGGGTAACTATACAGGATGTTGAAAAAGGTGAGTGCGATACTTGAAGGTTTTATTATAGTACTCGTAGAGAGAAGTAAAAAGTATGTAATCGATAAATATATTGTATATGTACACTGCTGACCATAAGCATGTATTTGGATTCTTCGTAATGTTAATTTAAGTTCAACGTTTCCCACTGTCTTTACTCTTTAATCATTTTATTACAAATCTATTAATTTATCCGTGTAGTGTAATGTAATGTAATGTAATCGTGTCTTGCAATGTAGAATACTAAATAAAGTAAAATTTGTTAAAGTTTTACATTAATTGTAACGAATAGGTGTCTTAATCAGGCTGACCTTCTCAAATTTATACAACCCGAAATGGATGTTATATTTCAATAGGTATTATTAAAATACGTATAATTCTCAAATGTTTGATTTTATTATTCAATTTAATGTTTGCTCTTTTTGTGTATTCCACACCTTTTATGAATAAAACAATTTAAGAAAGAAACGATATCTGAAGCGATACAAAAGCGAAGAGGAGGTGAGGAGGAGAGCAAGGTTAATACTCACGGTCTACGGTATATATATAGATCTTAAAAACAATTCTTTCAACGTAAAATTAATTTTCATTATTTATTAGCGTTCGATATAAAAAACAAATAACGTTTGATAATAAAGTCTTATCATGATAATTCGTAAAATCACATTTTACTCGAGACCTGCTCCTTTGAATCAGGCTATACAATTTCCAATAGAGTCATATCGTATTATAGCAAGCTTACCGCCTCCTCCCAGCATATAGTAAATTTGTTGCTCGGCAAATTCACGATATTCCTGGGGATCGCCGATACCGGGTGAGTCAGCCGCCTCCAGGCAAACGAACGCTACATTTGCAGCGTGGCAGAGGGTGCCAAACTTGTCGATGTACAGCAATCCCTTCGGCGTGCGTTTTTGCTGGCGCACCGAGAAATCGCAGAAAGCACGTGCCGCGTTCTGATATTCCGGCTGCCCTGTCATCTGTGCTAACAAGACCTGCCAAAATTTTGACTTTAATTCATATCAGCCCGATACAAGTAATTTTTCGCGTTTTAATTTTGCTTTGATTTTCATGATATTTTTTAGTAAATTATCTTACTGAAGATATTTTAGAAGAAATTAATTGTTTGTAATATTTTCTACGAATTTATTGGTCTTTTTAGGAATCTAATTTGAGAAACGGAACCTAGACAGAAATTTGATTCATCTGCTAGGTATATTGTAAATTGCAAATTAACTCTTTCTGGTCGGCATCGTAATGCGGGGGCAGACAAATGTCCTCAGAAATTACAGCCGGAAAGTTATAGTTATAAGAAAAATGAAAAAAAAAGGAATTCAATGAATATGTATCTCTTCTTTTCTATCATTTTTCAGTACTTAATCAGGCGAATGAATTTACCTGAACGCCAGCGACCTTCTTGTTGTAAAAGAATTCGTTCGGTCTCTCTTTGAGATGGAAATGCTGGTAATGATGTTCAGCATCCTCGAGATATATTGTATCGTTCGTTGCCTTGAACAGCCACACCGCCGCCCAAGCCAATTCGTCACCATAATCCGTGCTCTCGTAATACTGAGCTGCTCCACGGATCGCTTCGTGATAAAGCCCTCGATATTCATTGGCAAACTTGTACAATTCCTTGGCGTGTTTCAAACATTTAGCACTGTATTCTGGATCGTGATTACGAAATACCATACTGGATGCTGCGAGGGCAGCAGCGGTTTCACCTGCTAGATCGGATCCTACAAAAATGATTATAGTAATAAAATAATAGATATAGATAAGATAATAGTAAAAATAAGAATAATAATGGTAATTATTATAATAAACAGTATAATTATAATTGATGATAATAATAAATGAAAACAAATAGAACTACGCATGGAGGAAATTGTTAAATAATACGAAGTACAGAAGTGAATCATTAGGCATTCTCTTTATAATGTTGTTCGAATATATTTTTTCGCAGGTCGAGAACTTTCTCAAATTCTACAGTAAAAAGAAACCTATGA